GGTTCATTCATGTTATGTCACGTCGCTTTACGTCATTACGTTAGTTTTCTTATATCACTTTACATTACATTGGGTTAAGTTCATTTACGTTATGTCACGTCACTTTAGTTAGACTACGTTGTCGCTTCATTTTATATTAATTAAATTACATTATACCACATCGCTTTACGTTAAAGTAGGTTCCTTTACGTTATGTCTCACCATTTTATGTTAATCATAGTACTTTACGTTACTGTACCCCGTCGCTGTACGTTAAAGTAGGTTCATTTACGTTGTGTTACGTCACTTTACGTCAATTAGGTGACTTGCCCTTAGGTCCCGCCATTTTACATTAATTAGATTACTTTTACGTTTTGCTACATCACTTTCCGTTTATGTCCCGTGGCTTTACGTTAATTAGGTTACTTTACGTTCTGTTGCATCCCCTTACGTTACTTCACGGTATGTTAATTAGAAGACATCAGCCAGGTGGCGTTACGTTGCAGGAGTTGATTAGGCTGCTTTGCGTCGCAGTGCGTCACCACGTCACATGACCTCCCGTTGCAGTGTGTTGCCAGGTGGTATGACCTCCCGTTGCATTGTGTCACCACGTCACATGACCTCCCGTTGCATTGTGTCACCACGTCACATGACCTCTCGTTTTTTGCATTGTGTCACCACGTCACATGACCTCCTGTTGCATTGTGTCACCCCATCATGACCTCCCGTTGCATTGCATCACTACGTCACATGATCTCCTGTTGCATTGTCACCAGGTCACATGAACTCCCGTTGCATTGGTCACCCTGTCACATGACCTCCCGTTGCATTGCCACCAGGTCACATGACCTCCCATTGCATTGGTCACCCTGTCACATGACCTCCCGTTGCATTGTCACCAGGTCACATGAACTCCTGTTGCCTTGGTCACCCTGTCTCATGACCTCCCGCTGCAGGGCGTGCTTTGGGATGGAACCGTGTGTGCCGGCGGCGGCTGCGTCACTGCCCGCTGCACCTGGGAGTCGGCCCGTTCTCGGACCCCATCCCGGCTGCCCACTGCGGAGACCTGGGTCCGAACGAATGTCGGTCGACAGGGTAGGAGGCTGGTCCCGGGGACACCATCAGCGCACCAGCTGCTGCCCCTGCGCACCCTGACCTCGGGGACACCCGCTGCATTGGCATGAGGCCCGGAGGGAAGTCAGCCTGGGACCTGGGAGTCAGCCTGGGACCTGGGAGTCATCAGCCTGGGACCTGGGAGTCATCAGCCTCAAACCTGGGAGTCAGCCTTGGACCTGGGAGTCATCAGCCTGGGACCTGGGAGTCATCAGCCTCAAACCTGGGAGTCAGCCTGGGACCTGGGAGTCATCAGCCTGGGACCTGGGAGTCATCAGCCTGGGACCTGGGAGTAGTCAGCCTCGGACCTGGGAGTCAGTCTGGGACCTGGGAGTCAGCCTAGGACCTGGGAGTCATCAGCCTGGGACCTGGGAGTCAGCCTGGGACCTGGGAGTCATCAGCCTCAGACCTGGGAGTCATCAGCCTGGGACCTGGGAGTCATCAGCCTGGGACCTGGGAGTAGTCAGCCTCGGACCTGGGAGTCAGCCTGGGACCTGGGAGTCAGCCTGGGACCTGGGAGTCATCAGCCTGGACCTGGGAGTCATCAGCCTGGGACCTGGGAGTCATCACCCTGGGACCTGGGAGTCAGCCTGGACCTGGGAGTCATCAGCCTGGGACCTGGGAGTCATCAGCCTGGACCTGGGAGTCATTAGCCTGGGACCTGGGAGTCATCAGCCTCGGACCTGGGAGTCATCACCCTGGGACCTGGGAGTCATCACCCTGGGACCTGGGAGTCATCAGCCTCGGACCTGGGAGTCAGCCTGGACCTGGGAGTCATCAGCCTGGGAACTGGGAGTCATCAGCCTGGACCTGGGAGTCATCACCCTGGGACCTGGGAGTCATCACCCTGGGACCTGGGAGTCAGCCTGGACCTGGGAGTCATCAGCCTGGACCTGGGAGTCGGCCTGGGACCTGGGAGTCATCACCCTGGGACCTGGGAGTCATCACCCTGGGACCTGGGAGTCAGCCTGGACCTGGGAGTCATCAGCCTGGGACCTGGGAGTCATCAGCCTGGGACCTGGGAGTCATCAGCCTGGGACCTGGGAGTCATCAGCCTAGGACCTGGGAGTCATCAGCCTTGGACCTGGGAGTCATCAGCCTCAGACCTGGGAGTCAGCCTGGGACCAGGGAGTCAGCCTGGGACCTGGGAGTCATCAGTCTGGGACCTGGGAGTCATCAGCCTGAACCTGGGAGTCATCAGCCTGGGACCTGGGAGTCATCAGCCTGGGTCCTGGGAGTCATCAGCCTGGGACCTGGGAGTCATCAGCCTCAGACCTGGGAGTCAGCCTGGGACCTGGGAGTCAGCCTGGGACCTGGGAGTCATCAGCCTGGACCTGGGAGTCAGCCTCGGACCTGGGAGTCAGCCTAGGACCTGGGAGTCATCAGCCTTGGACCTGGGAGTCATCAGCCTCAGACTTGGGAGTCAGCCTGGGACCTGGGAGTCAGCCTGGGACCTGGGAGTCATCAGTCTGGGACCTGGGAGTCAGTCTGGGACCTGGGAGTCAGCCTTGGACTTGGGAGTCAGAGCCTTGGACCTGGACCAGGGTGTCAGCCTTGGAATGTGGTCCATTCACATTCAAGAGCTGCTGTTGTCATGGAAACAGGAACCTTGTTGCCCAAACAATGGGGCCGGGCCCCAGCCCGCACGCCCTCCTTCCCAGGCCTGTGATTCCGACTTCCCCACGTAATCTGTCCTTCTGCCCAATATAAGCAGCTGGCTCATGGGGACTGGGGGGGCGGGGGCGGGACACGGGGGCACAGAGCAGGTTTTGTGGGTGAATAAAGGCTCGTCTGGGATCCACCCCTGTCTCTGCTGAATTGGCTCAGGTGCTGACAGGCGGCCCGAACCCCTCGGCTGCCGGTCGCATGATGGACAGCCACGGAGCTGGCGAAAAGCGAGGCGCCCCCGAGAACGGAGGCGTCATTGTCACGGAGACGGCTCGTTGCTATAAAATGCGGGTCCTCCCTGAATTCATCGATGAACATCCCAAACCCCAGCAGCTTTGTGGATAAAACAGCTGGAAAGATACTGAAACGGGAGGTGAGGGGCCTGGCGACCCCAGGAGTGTCCACCTGCGGCGAGAACAGACGGGCGAAGGATCCGAGAAGGGCCCGGCCGGCGTGGCTCCGTGGCTGAGCGTCGACCTGTGACCCAGGAGGTCCCGGGTTCGATTCCCGGTCAGGGCGCAGGCCCGGGTTGTGGGCTCGATCCCCAGCGTGGGGCGTGCAGGAGGCAGCCGGTCCGAGATTCTCTCTCATCACCGATGTTTCTCTCTCTCCGTCTCCCTTCCTCTCTGGAATCAATCAATATATATCTTTGTTTTTAAAAAGAACGGACGGACAGATCTGTTGGGGAATCGAAGCGCTGAGGAGAGAACGTAGATAGATGCACAGCCCACGGACTCAGACGGCAGGCTGGGGAGGCCCGGGGAGGGGCCGGTGTGCGTCTAGAAGGGCTTCATGGGGAAACAGCTGCAATACTTTCAGCAATGAAGACACATTTTTTAAAAAAACAAAAAACTAGAATATTCGAGCCTGGCTTTGACCGGCCCCCGTGTGACCCTAATCCCCCTCGATGAATGCCACCCGGAGGGAGTCTGCGTGGCGATGTCTGTCCGCAGAGCTGTGAGCCTCCTCGGGCCTGCAGTGGGGATGAGCGTGACAGACCGCCCGTCCGTCCGTCCGTCCGTCCCGTTTCTCTTCGCGGTCTGCATTCCGATTAGCCTGGACCCTTTAGAACAGCCAGGGGTCCCCGCTGCACTGAGAGCTGGAGGAGGCGGGTGTCACTGTTCGTCCTCAGAGCTCCTCCCAGTGGGGATGGAGCCCACAGCCCAGGCCTGTGCCCTGAGCGGGATTCGAACCCGGGGCCTCCTGGTTCCTAGGTCGATGCCCAACCACTGAGCCACACTGGCTGGGCGTTTTCTGTTTTGTGTTTTAGCCAATAAATGGGTCTAGCCCACCGGGCAGTTGCAGGAGACTTTATTGTGTCGTCGTCCGTATGTACAAACATTCCCGCGTGGATATAACGAATGCATCCCAGCACGTCGGGCTATTTACAATAACTTTTTGGGGTGTTTTTCTTTTTTTTTACAATTTTTTTTTTACAAGATTACGTCTCTTGATACCATGACACACGCACACGCACACACACACACACACACACACACACACGGGAAACATCCTAATTACAGACATAAATAAATTATGGAGTTTGCGTGGCCGCTGGGAGGGACGGATTCCCGCGGACCGTCCATCTGGGCGAGGGAGGATGGCGACATGGCAGCCTCGTCAGCCGCCGCGTCCACGGGGCCAGGGGCCGCGAGATTCGTCAGGAGGGAAACGGCGAGTCTGGCCACACGGACGCACAGACGGAGCCACCGTCTCTCTGAGTTTCCTGGGGTGTTTTGTTGTTGTTGCTGACTATGTTTTTATTGACGTCAGAGAGGAAGCGAGAGAAACATCCATGATGGAGGGGATCCCGCATCGGCTGCCTCCCGCCCGCCCCACGCTGGGGATGGAGAAGATGCCGTCGCTGGAGGAGAAAACCGTAAAAAAGCAGCGAGAAAGGAGTTGTAATTTCCCCCGGGGGCCGTGGGGGGAGCAGCGAATGGAATCGGTCATTTTAGCGTCAAAAGTTCCATTGGTGCCCGGCCGGCGTGGCTCCGTGGCTGGGCGTCGACCTATGAACCAGAGGTCAGGGTTCGATTCCGGCCAGGGGCACACGCCGGGGTTGTGGGCTCCATCCCCAGTAGGGTGCGGGCGGGAGGCAGCCGGTCCGCGATTCTCTCTCCTCGTGGCTGTCTCTCTCTCCCTGTCCCTCTGCCTTCCTCTCGGAAATAAAGGGATCTATATATATAAAAGGCTAATATGCAAAGTGTCCCTGCGGGAGTTCGACCGGGAGACCTGGAGTTCGATCGTTCGCTATGATGTGCGCCGGCCACCAGGGGGCGGCGTGGAACGAGGGAAGGCCGCGACCGGCCCTGATCGCCAGCCAGCCCTAGGGACCCGCCCCGTGCACGAATTCCGTGCGCAGGTCTGCTAGTCTATTAGAAGGTCAAATGGAAAGTTGCCCCGGTGAAGGCGAGGCCTGGAGTCAGTATGATCTGGGCGCTGGCCCCAGGGGTCTGATGGGAGAGGCCCCGGGAGCCCGCGGTTCTGTGACGATGCGGTGTCAGCTGGCCGCGCCACGCCTGGACACGGAATTTGCATGGGCTGGGTCGCGTGTGCGTGCTCTCTGCTCCCGGGGGATGTGGCTGAGGCCGACGCAGACTCCCGTGGGGCGCTGTGTCCGGAGGCCTCGGGGTGGAGAGAGGCTCCTGGGGGTGAGGCCGGGGCACACCCAAGGGCTCGGCCGCCTGGAGGGCAGCTCAGGGCCTCTGGGGAGCCCAGCGGTGATGGTGTGGGTGGTGGTGTTTCAGGGGGGGCCCTGGGGAGAGACGGAAAACACCTGTTAGTCCCCTGGCCCCCTGGGGTCCCGCCTGACCCCGAAAGGTCGCAGACCGCCCCGTCCCCTCTCTCCGTCCAGCCTCTCCCTGCCCGGGTTGCAAAAAGCAAATGCAAATTTATTTTTTTTTTTTAATATAATTTTTTTTTTGGTAATTTCAGAGAGGAAGGGAGAGGGAGAGAGAGAGAGAAGCATCCATGATGAGAGAGAATCAGGGATCGGCTGCCTCCTGCACGCCCCCTACTGGGGATGGAGCCCGCAACCTGGGCGTGTGCCCTGACCAGGATTCGAACCCGTGACCTCCTGGTTCCTAGGTCGAAGCTCAACCACGGAGCCACGCCGGCCGGGCGGACCCGTCATTGTGAAAACATCAGACGTTAATCTAGGATCGCTTCTCCATTATTTTAAATCAACACACACCTTTAGACATGGCTTTGTACGGTCGGCTGGATGACGGTAAAGTCCGTAACGAAAAAGCAGGGAGATGCTCGTTAAATAGCCGGTAACACTTTTTAAAGACCATGTTACTGGGTTTAGCTAATTCCATTGGGGTCATATTTTGAAGAAAACGCACACCGTATATTTCAGTAAAATGTCTGTAATAAGAAAATAAGCTTCTTGTCCAAATATTATCTCCTGCACTTCGTATTGGAAAATCTTAATTTCGAGAACATTTCTGCTGCATACGATTATAGATTTTTTTTCCATATGGATTTATGGTTTAAAAGACAAAGAAGTCCCAGCCGGTGTGGCTCACTGGACAGAGTGTGGGGCCTGCGGACGGAAGGGTCCTGGGTTCGATTCCCCATCAGGGCACAGGCCCGGGTTGCGGGCTGGATCCCCAGTAGGGGGTGTGCAGGAGGCAGCCGGTCCATGGTTCTCTCTCATCATGGATGTTTCTCTCTCTCTCTCTCTCTCCCTTCCTCACTGAAAATCAAGAAAAATATCTATACTAATAAAAGGGTGATATGCTAATTAGACCGGGAGACCTTCTGGACATCCTTCCGGACATCCTTCCGGACAAAGCCATGGTGGCGGGGCTGAGGCAGAGGTGGTTAGGGGCGATCAGGCAGGCAGGCAGGTGAGCAGTTAGGAGGCAGCGGTCCCGGATTGCGAGAGGGTGCAGGCCGGGCTGAGGGATACCCCCGCCCCACATGCAAGAATTTTGTGCACCGGGCCACTAGTATTTTATAAAAAGACAAAGAAAAGCAAGCATTCTGTATAAAATAAAAGGAAGGTTAAAAGGAAAAGAAGAAGAGGGCGGGAAAAGGGAATTAAACATCGACCCTACGATTTATGCTAAAATGAACCCCCGTGAGCAGATGCGAATGGGGAGAAGGACTCCCCGGGGGACGAGAGCCCCATCTCACAGGCCTGCGGCTCTGGGTGTTGGCTTTCCCCCAGGACTGCCCCGTGTGGGGAAGGCAGGTGGCTCTTACCGTGCCCCGGGGGCGGGCGGTCGGGGGTCCGGAAGGTCTGGAGGGTGGCCGGCCCCTCCCCCGTGGGGGTCAGCACCTGGACCTCGAGTCGGTACAGGGTGGACGGCCTCAGGTTGGGCACGGTGAGGAAGGCGTGGTTCTGGGGGCGACACCAAGCGAGAGGCCGTCAGAGACGCTGGGGAAGGAAGACAGACCACGGCCCGGCTGGTGTGGCTCAGTGGTTGGGCGTTGACCTCGGAACCAGGAGGTCACGGTTCGAGGCCCAAGTTGTGGGCTCGGCCCCCAGTCGGGGGCGCGCGGGAGGCAGCCGACCTATGATTCTCTCTCGTGGTGGATGTTTCTGTCTCCCTCTCGCCCTCTCCCTTCCTCTCTGCGATCAACAAAAATACATTTAAAAGAAGAAGATGCACAATGTATGCATGTTGGGTGACAGGCTGTGGTGTCCGGTCCCCAGGTAACTTAGAGTCTGGCCCTGATTTCTGGGGTCCCCCACTGGGTGGTGTCTCAGGATCAGGCTCACTTCCTGGCAGCCCAAGACCCTGGACAGAGCTCACCCCTGAGGCCGGTCCCGGGTCACCCTTGGACCCCATGGCCCATGCCTCACGCACACCCAACCCACTCCCAGCATCCCTGCTTCTGCCGGAAGCCGGTCCATCCTTGCTGCTTGACACAGTCGCCACAGGGAAGAGACATCTGCACAGCCTGTGTTTCAAGGGACCTGGCGTCTATGGCATCCTGTTCTTAATGTTTGCTCCCCGTCTTAGCGCTATGTGTTCTAACCAAGGTCACCTCTCTGAGAAAGCTTGTTTCCCCAGGTGGGGGTTTTTCCCTGGAGTTAGGGATTAACAGGACTGAGGAAATGAATAAATCAGTAAAAACCCCTTAACTAAGTCCCAGGCGGGTAGTTAATCACCTTAACTACGAACAATCAGGCTTAAGCTACATAATCTTTACATAGGATAATCTTTCACACTTGATCTTAGCCAAAAGGCCGAGAAGCGATAACATAGGATAATCTTTCAGTTACTTCCTTGTAGCTTAACAGAACAATAGAGTAGTGGCCTTGGAATGGAGATAAGAAACGCCCTAACCTTTGGAATAGAATGGATGGAATTAAAATCCACTGGTATAAATACAGATGTAACAGGACAATAAACATGGAACCTGGCTAGAACCTGGCTAGAACCTGGCTAGGCTGATGATCAATTGAAAGCTGTCTCTGTGTATTTCCTTCTTTGCTGACTCTGTCCACACCTTTGGGAACCCCTGGACCTGCTGGGGTTGGACCCCAACATGCTTCCTCATGGCTCACCCACACCCACCCACTCCCAGCATCCCTGCTGTCTCATTCTGTGGGACTTTTCTTCTGGGATTTGGGTTCTTTCTCTTCGTTTTGGAGCAGGCCTTGGCGATTCTGAGAGCGTTTGTGAAACCCTCATGGGGGTTGGGGGGGAGGGGGTGTTTTTCACGCCAAGGCCCTGAGTGGCGTGGGAGACGGGCCAGCTCATTAGGGGCTGAGCGGATCGGATGGGGGCGCAGGAAGAGGGACAACAGCTCCTTCCGGCTCTTTTCTCCCCAATGAAGACCACTCGCTGTGCGTGTGCACCGGGGCGAGAGGGACGCCGGAGACGAAGGCGGGAGGAGAGGGTCTCACACTCGTACAGTCAAGATGGGAGCAGGGGCTCTGGTCCCGGAATCTGTGTAGAGGGCAGTTGATTCTTTTTTTTTTTTTTTTAAATAGTTTTATTGATTTCAGAGAGGAAGGGAGAGGGAGCGTCAACCTATGAGCCAGGAGGTCAGGGTTCGATTCCCGGTCAAGGGCACGTGCCCGGGTTGCGGACTCGATCCCCAGTAGGGGGCGTGCAGGAGGGAGCCGGTCCGTGATTCTCTCTCATCATCGATGTTTCTCTCTCTCCCTCTCCCTTTCTCTCTCTAAAATCAATAAAAATATACATATATTTTAAAAAACCAATGGAAAAATATCCTTGGGTGAGGATTACGGACAATAAATAAATAAGTGAACCAAAGGTTCAGAAGGAGGAAGGTGGGAAGAAGACAGGAGGAGGCGTGGTGGGTGTGGGGGGCACAGACATGGGGGGGCACGGACACGGCGGGGGTGCCTACCGCGGGCAGGATCTGGGACTGCGAGATGATGCTGTTGGGCAAGCTGTTCTGCCTGCTCTCGGTCGTCACCTCCGCCCAGGTCACCTGGAAGCCGGTCGCGGGCGGGTCGAGGTTGGCCTGGGCCGTCGTCCAGGCGAAGTGGCCAGTGACGTTCCCGTCCTGGACGGCGAAGGAGGCGGACAGGTCCTGGGGGGTGGCCAGCACTTTGGGGAGGTCGGGACCTGTTGGGGTGGGAAGGTGGGGCCGGTGAGGCGGGGGGGGGACCGGATGCCACGGGGTGCCTTCTGGGCAGGGGGTGGGGAGGGCTGGTGCAAGGGGACCTGCGTCTCGTCTCGTCTTGTCTTGTCAGGAAGCGCAGTCTCCAGGGACCAGCGCTGTGATGGACAGGGATCGCGAGGGAGCCGGCCCCGGGTGAGGGCCACCCCGGGCAACCTGCTGCCCCTCCATCCCCTGGAGTTTGTTCTCAGAATCCGGGGACGGGAGGCGGAGGAAGGATCCGAAATCTGCCAGGAGGTGGCCATCTCTCAGAGGAGAGAAAAGGACTGGGGTGGGAGGGTTGATGCGGAAGGCGTTAGAAGCTCCTAGAAGGAGGTGAGGGGACTGCGTGGGAGCGGCCGGGGATGGTTGTCCGCCTGCAGGACACACGCCTGGGTGGCGGGCTCGATCCCCGGACGGGGCGTGAGGAGGCGGCCGATGCGAGATTCTCTCTCGTCATCGATGTTCCTATCCCTCTCTCCCTCTCTCTTATTCTCTGAAGTCAATACAAATCCACAGTAATAAAAGGTAATATGCCAATTAGACCGGACATCTTCCGGACGTCCTTCCGGACAAAGCCACGGTGGCGGGGGCCGAGGCAGAGGTGGTTAGGGGGGATCAGGACGGGAGAGCAGTTAGGGGCGATCAGGCCGGCAGGGGAGAGCAGCTAGGGGCGATCAGGCTGGCAGGGGAGGGCAGTTAGGGGCGATGAGGCTGGCAGGGGAGGGCAGTTAGGGGCGATCAGGCTGGCAGGGGATGGTAGTTAGGGGGTGATCAGGCCGGCAGGCAGAGGTGGTTAGGGGCGATCAGGCCGGCAGGCAGAGGTGGTTAGGGGCGATCAGGCCAGCAGGGGATGGCAGTTGGGGTGATCAGGCCGGCAGGGGAGAGCAGTTAGGGGCGATCAGGCCGGCAGGGGAGGGCAGTTAGGGGGCGATCAGGCCAGCAGGGGAGGGCAGTTGGGGGGATCAGGCCAGCAGGGGAGGGCAGTTGGGGGCAATCAGGCTGGCAGGGGAGAGCAGTTAGGGGCGATCAGGCCGGCAGGGGAGAGCAGTTAGGGGTGATCAGGCAGGCCGGGGAGCGCAGTTAGGGGCGATCAGGCCGGCAGGGGAGGGCAGTTAGGGGGCGATCAGGCCAGCAGGGGAGTGCAGTTGGGGTGAACAGGCCAGCAGGGGAGGGCAGTTGGGGGCGATCAGGCCAGCAGGGGAGGGCAGTTGGGGGTGATCAGGCCAGCAGGCAGAGGCGGTTAGAGGCGATAAGGCCAGCAGGGGAGGGCAGTTAGGGGGATCTGGCTGGCAGGGGAGGGCAGTTGGGGGCGATCAGGCCAGCAGGGGAGGGCAGTTGGGGGCGATCAGGCCAGCAGGCAGAGGCGGTTAGGGGGGATCAGGCCAGCAGGGGAGGGCAGTTGGGGGCGATCAGGCCAGCAGGCAGAGGCGGTTAGGGGGGATCAGGCCGGCAGGCAGAGGCGGTTAGGGGGGATCAGGCAGGCAGGCAGGCGAGCGGTTAGGAGCCAGCAGTCCCAGATTGCAAGTCGGACGTCCCCTGAGGTGTCCCGGATTGGAGAGGGTACAGGCCGGGCTGAGGGACACTCCCCCGCCCCGTGCACAAATTTCGTGCACCGGGCCTCTAGTCTATACGTATTTAAAGGTGTGTGTGTACATTTTGGGGAACAGCCTATACCCGGGCCCTCCCACGGAGGCAGAGGGCACTGCCTGGGTTCAGGGCGCTGCGCGGAGTGGCCTGGGGACACCTCAAAGTGGCCGACCCCGCGGCTGGCACCCAGGAGGCCCGTCCACGCACCTGCTTCCCCCGGGCAGCTGAGGTGGGCGCGGCTCTGCCCCTGCAGCGCCGTGCAGGGCGGGGTCCTGAAGGAAAGGGTCTCGGCCTTCGAGGGGCCCCGCGGCCCCGTGGGCTGCACGGTCAGCTTGTACTTGCAGGAAAACGCTAGGTCTCGGAGGATCATGTAGTTCTCCTGCGGCGAGAGAGAGGGACGCGGTGGCGGTACAGCTCACTGGGGGTGGAAACCGCGGCAGGAGACGAGACGGTCCCCCCTTCAGGGTGTTTCCCGATGTTGGAGGGGTGCCATGTGGCCTCTGCAAGGAGCACAGGGCAGCCTGTCCAGGCTTTTCATTTTATTAAAATACTAGAGGCCCGGTGCACGGATTCGTGCACTGGTCGGGGGCGTGGCCTGCGGGGATTGGCCCGCTCTGGGGGTGACACTCATCTCGGTCAGCCGAGCGGCACTCTCGCTGTGGGAGTGCACTGACCACCAGGGGGCAGCTCCCGCGTTGAGCGTGAGCCCCCTGGTGGTCCGTGCGTGTCATAGCGACCGGTCAAACGGTCATTCTGGTCGTTCCACCATTCGGTCTCTGGGCTTTTATATAGACAGGTTTCTATTGATCTCAGAGAGGAAGGGAGAGGGAGGGAGAGAGAGAGATAGAAACATCCATGATGAGAGAGGATCATGGATCGGCTGCCTCCTGCACGCCCCCTGCTGGGGATCGAGCCCGCAACCTGGGCATGTGCCCTTGACCAGGATCTCTCTTGTCCGTATTCTGCCCCTTTCGGGAGGGAGGGGGCTCTGTGACTACTTCCCGCCCAACATGGCGCTGGAACAGAAACACAAGCAACACCTGAAGTCCGAGGACTGAGAGGCTCCGAGGTGACTGTCTCGCCCCAGGACGGGGGACCCCAAGGGCTCTCACTGGCGTTAGGGATGCTCACCCACTCTCACCGGTGAGGTCCCCCAGGGCTGGGATGTGGAAAAGGCAGGGGGGGCCTTGCTCACCTGCCTTTTGGGGGGAGGGAAGGGGGCGCTGCCGCCGGACAGCAGTGCGGATTCGTGAGAAGTGAGAGACAGGAAGTCAGAGAGAGTCTGGTCGGCGTGGCTCAGTGGTTGAGCATCGACCTCTGAACCGGGAGGCCAGGGTTCGATTCCTGGTCAGGACACATTGTGGGCTCGATCCCCAGTCGGGGGCACACAGGAGGCAGCCGATCCGTGATTCTCTCTCATCTTGGATGTTTCTCTCTCTCTCACCCTCTCCCTTCCTCTCTGAGATCAATATATATATTATATATTAGTTATATGGTATACTAGAGGCCCGATGCATGAAATTCATGCAAGGGACTCGCCCTTGGGGCCCCAGCTTCGTCTAGAAGGTCGTCCGGAAGGTTATTTGACTGTCTGGTCTAATTAGCATATTATGCTTTTATTATTATAGATATTCCTTCTATATATATAAAAGCCTAACCATTATTATAGATATTCCATCTATATACATAAAAGCCTAACCATTATTATAGATATTCCATCTATATATATAAAAGCCTAACCATTATTATAGATATTCCATCTATATATATAAAAGCCTAACCATTATTATAGATATTCCATCTATATATATATAAAAGCCTAACCATTATTATAGATATTCCATCTATATATATAAAAGCCTAACCATAGCAATCCGGTCGCTATGACACGCACTGACCACCAGGGGGCAGATGCTCAATGCAGGAGCTGCCCCCTGGTAGTCAGTGCGCTCCCACGGCCAACCTCCTGCGTTCCCTCCCCGTGGCCAGCCAGCCCCGATCGGGACTGGGCAAGACAGCCCCCATCGGCCCCGATCGCCAGCCAGGCTGAGGGACCCCACCTGTGCATGAATTCATGCACCGGGCCTCTAGTATATACATAATAAATCAATAATATAAATAAATAAAGTTAACAGCCAAGTCGTCGGTGCATGGCGTGAACAAGTAATGCCTGTCGCTGCTGGGTGCATTGGTGGCACTTGCGGACGCGACTGCGTGAGGTGCTGAGCCCCAGGACCGCATAGAAGGCCCCTGGGAGAGCGACACCTTCAGACGTGCAGCCAAGTCAGCACTCAGAGGACAATTCAAAGCTTTTGCCCAATTGCATGGAACACCGAGCCCTTCTGGGCGGGCTGGGTGTCCCTGAGGGACGGGCCTCGCATCTGCCCGTGGCCCGGCCTGAGCGACACGTCGGCAAGCTCTCGAGGGGACGCGGTGTCCGGGGAGAGGAGGCGCGAACGGGGACCCTCAGCTGTTCTGTCTTCGCCTGGCGTTTGCTCGATAGGGGATTGGTGAGAACGACATACCCACGGGACAGACGACTTACACGTGTCTGGGTCCAATTCTATACGCACGGTGGAGGAGTCTATTGTCTATTCCGGACGGAGCCGCGGGGTCGCGGACTCACCTGTGTCGTGGCGGACGCCGCCGCCGCTGGCCGGTCGGTGTCATTGTGGGCACAGGCCTCCGGGACCCACCGCACCTGGTAGCGACTGGCGCCGGGGTCTGCAACGGAGAACAGTCCGGGGTCACATCCCACCCAGTCCCGGGTCCCCAAGACGTGACTGAACAGGAAGGAAGGAACTAAAGTAGCACAGGTGACCCCCAAGTGCATGCCTGAAGCAAAGGGGGGCCCACGGGGACTTCAGATCCCGACTACTATTCCGGGATATAGTGGTTGAGCGTCGGCCTAGGAAGCAGGAGGTCAGGGTTCGAGTCCTGGTCAAGGGCACGTGCCCGGGTTGCAGGCTCGATGCCCAGAAGGGGGCGTGCAGGAGGCGGCCGGTGCAGGCTTCTCTCTCCTCATGGATGTTTCTCTCCCTCTCCCTTCCTCGCTGAAATTAATGTAAAAAGATATTTTTAAATAAGATGCTAGCATCTCATCCTCGTCTGACGGGGGTGGGGTAGGGGGGCTTCTGAGGGGAGAGTGTTTGATGGGATCAGGTGCCTGACTGGGACCTGGGAGGAGAAAAAAAACTCACATCAGAGAACAAAAGGGACAGCAGGCGGGCCCCGCGGTGCCGGGTTCGAGGGGACCCGCCGAGGGCGCCTTGGCTCTGTGCTGGTTGTATTTTCCTTCGGATTCTTTTCGAGAGGGTGGGAGGGAGGGGGAGAAACGTCGACGGGAGAGACGCGTCGGTGGGTGGCCTCCTGCACGCGCCCCGGGGACCGACCGGGGCCGGGGATCGAGCCTGCAACCCAGGAGCGTGCCCGTTGGCCAGATCGAACCCGGGACCGACTTCGGTCCGCAGGCCGACGCTCCATGCACTGAGCCACACATGCAGGCCAGTCTTCTGGGTTATTTTTTTTTTTAAAGAGAATTGTGGGGTTGTTTAACAGAATTATGGTTTTTTAAAAAATATATTTTGTATTGATTTTTTTACGGAGAGGAAGGGAGAGGGATAGAGAGTTTGAAACATCGATGAGAGAGAAACATCGATCAGCTGCCTCCTGCACACTCCCTACTGGGGATGTGCCCGCAACCCAGGTACATGCCCTTGGCCGGAATCGAACCCGGGACCCCTCAGTCCGCAGGCCGACGCTCTATCCACTGAGCCACACCGGCCAGGGCGAGAATTGTGGCTTTTTAACTGGATTGCGGGATGCCCATCTGCAGGGAGTGAGTGCACGGCACTCCCCTCAGCGACGCCGCCCTGGCACCGGGCCGTGAGGCTGCCTCCCAGGAGCAGTGGCTTTGCTGGGACGTCGACAGGAGGACGGAGCAGCCCCGGCCGGTGCTGCTCAATGGTCAGCGCTCCGGCGGCATACCAAGGGGTCCCGGGTTCGACTGCCGGCCGAGGGCACGTCGACGAGTTGCAGGTTGGATCCCCACCCCAGTCTCAACAGAACGGCGTTGTGTGGAGCAGCCGCTTTCCTCGAGAGCCATCGTGTGGCCCGACATGCGTCCACCCCCACCCCCCCGACTCCCACCTCACCCCCCAGGACCCTGACAGGCTGTGCGACCGGCCGATCGGCCGACCGGGAGCCGATGGCAGTGACCAGGCCCCCGCGTACCTGCTGTCCTTTTCCAGTAGACCTTCGCCTGCAGCCGGCCGTCCTGGAAGAAGGGGGCGCCCACCTCCAGCCGGCGGGCGGGCCGGCGCCGCTGAGCAGGGGGCTGTGGCCGGATCGGCCCTCCTCTGTCCTTCCCAAGCGGGTCTTCTGCAACCAAGGAAAGGGTCCGGGTGACGGGTCAGAAGTCATGCCGGGCCCGGCCCGCGTGGCTCGAGGGTGAGCGTCGGCCCAGGAACCAGGAGGTCGGGGTTCGATTCCCGGTCACGGGCACAGGCCCGGGTTGCGGGCTCGATCCCCGGGGGGGGGGGGGGGGGGGTGCAGGAGGCGGCCGGTCCATGATTCTCTCATCCTTGATGTTTCTCTCTCTCTCTCTTTTCCTCTCTCTAAAAATGAATGAAAACAGATTTTTAAAAACAGACGGGGGCTGGATTTGGTGTGAAGCCATAGCTTGCAGAGTCAGAGAGAGAGAGAGGTGCTGCTCAGGCACCACCCCCACCCCCAGGGCCCCAGGACCAGGTGTGGACCCTGACATGAGCCAGACGCATACTTGGAATATTTCCGCTTAAATGGCTCGCACCCGTGTCTGCGGAGCTGAGGCGCACGTCCTTGGTTTAAGGGCCCTTCACCCGAATGCAGGGTGTGCCTCAGGGTGTCTCCCGCACCCCCAGGCAGGTCTGCTGCACCCCAGCTGGTGCCCAGCCGTGCACCCCCAGCGCTGACGCCCTCGCACAATCCGGGAACCCTCGGGGGGTGTCGGGGAGCCGGTTTTGGCCCGATCCCCACAGGCCAGGCCGAGGGACCCCACCGGTCGGTGCACGAATCCGTGCACAGGGCCTCTAGCCTATCTCTATATATAAAAGGCTCATATGCAAATTGTCCGCTCGGGAGTTCGACCGGCAGAGCGCGAGTTCGATTGCTCACTCTGACCTTCAGAGGGTGGAAGGGCTCAAAGGTGAGGGGCTCACAGGTGAGGGGCTCGGTCCCCATCCCACACACCCGCCATCCCGGACCCAGGGCTGTCAATCAGACGCCCCCAGACCCAGGAGCAGGACTCCACGCATTTGCTGGGGCGGCTTCCAGAACCCGGGGACCCTTTCCTCACTCGGTCACGGGTTTATGATAACGGAGAAAGCTCAGGCCCCGCCGGCGTGGCTCAGTGTGTGAGCGTCGACCTGGGAACCAGGAGGTCAGGGTTCGAATCCCGGTCAGGGCACAGGCCCGGGTGGCGGGCTCCATCCCCAGTAGGGGGTGTGCAGGAGGCGGCCGGTCCATGATTCTCTCTCATCACTGATGTTTCTAACTCTCTCACCCTCTCCCTTCCTCTCTGAAATCTGTAAAAATATATATTTTTAAGAAACGAAATGAAAAAAACAAGAAAACTCAGGAACAGGCAGATGGAGGAGACACATAGCCAACGGGGTGAGGAAGGGGGTGGGGAGTACAGCCCCTCACCCTCTCCAGGCACCCCACAGGCCCCCAATCGGCTCCCGGGCACCCACCCCAAACTCTCCGACCCCCTCTTTTCTGTTCTTAAGGAGACTGTCTAATGCAGGTGCGACTGATGGCCATTGGTCCTTCGAGGTGCCCCTCGCGATGCAGCCCCGCCCCCTGCCCCCAGCTGGGGAGGGGAGGGTGGGGCTGGCCATTCCAGTCCTCTAACCCCAGGTGGGTGCAGACCAGCCCCCCGCCTCCCTCCCCCCAGGAGCCTCCAGCAGCCCCGCAACAAAGGCGCCTTCATCCCGCTCACCGCTTGGGGAAATTCCAGGAGGTGCTGGGAATCTAGACCGACGCCCAACGCATACTTCTTATTCTAAGTCACCACCTGGCCGGCTGCTCCTGCGGGAGAGGCAGCCGCTCCCTGCAAACAGCTGGAGAGCCAGCGGCTGGGCCAGGAGGAGGCGGGGGGAGGAGGAGGGTGCGGTAAGGGGGGAGTGGGGGGCAGACGATCACCCAGCTCCCTGCAAAGGGCAGCCCTCTCCCCAGCCCCCCCTGCCATCATGGGGTCTGGTCCTGCCAAGGCATCAGCGGGAGTTAGTTCACCGTCTGACTGAAGACCACAGGCTCCCTTTTAAATGGGTCGTTGTGTGTGGCCTGAGAATGGGGTTATAAGTACCCAGTGGCCCCAGCCAGTGTGGCTCAGTGGGCAGAGCACCGGCCCTCAGACTGCAGGGTCCCGGGTTCGATTCCGGTCAAGGGCGGCGCGTGCCTGGGTGGCAGGTTTCCCAGCCGTGGTCGGGGTGCGTGCAGGAGGCAACCCATCGATGTGTCTCTCTCACGTGGATGTCTCTCTCTGTCTCTCCCTCTCGCTCTAAAAATCAATGGAAAAATATCCTTGGGTGAGGATTAAAAACAACAACAAATCTCTATATATATATAAAAGCCTAAGTGACCATCCGACCGTTTGCTATGACGGGCACTGACCACCAGGGGGCAGACGCTCAACACAGGAGCTGCCAAACTGCAGACTTGGCAGCTGCGGTTCTCAGGTGACACAACCAGAACCAGAGAGGAGGGAGCCCGAATCCGGGACCCCTCAGGGGATGGCGGGGAGCCGGTTTCAGCCCGATCCCCACAGGCCAGGCCGAGGGACCCCACCGGTGCACGAATCCGCGCCCCGGGCCTCTAGTCTATGTATATAAAAGGCTAACATGCAAATTGTCCGCGCAGGAGTTCAACCGGGAGAGCGGGAGTTCGATCGCTTGCTATGATGTGCGCTGACCACCAGGGGGCGGTGCCGAACATGGCGGGCGACCAGCGGCGGTGGCAGGGGGCTGAGGGAGCGAGGGAAGGGGGAGGCGGGGAGGCGGGGAGGCCAGGCCTCGGGACCTTAATGTGCACCGATTTCGTGCACCGGGGCCTCCAGTACATAAACCAGAAAATGCTCCGATGGCACCCAAGCAAATGGGGATTTTTTTTTCCTCCTGGTTCCTGGCTGTGGGAAGGAATGAATACATGACGTGATGGGAGCCTGCAATCCCGTCCCAGCTGCTCACCAGGAAGGAATGCGGTTTGTTTGTTGGGAAAAAAGCAGAAGGAGAGGAGGAGGCGGGCGGAGGGAGGGGGAGCCGTGAGGCGGGGAGATGGACAGGTGGGGATCTGGTGGGCGGGACTGAAAAGAGTGAGAAATCTCCTATACGACTCACACCTCCCAAGGGACATTGGGTCCAAAATGGGTATTAGAGGAAGAGTAGACACATAATTCCTAGTTTGGCTATTACTTTAATTTTATAAGAAAAGAGGTGGCAGGCCCGGCCGGCGTGACTCCGTGGTTGAGCATCAACCTAGGAACCAGGAGGTCAGGGTTTGATTCCCGGTCAAGGGCACATGCCCGGGTTGTGGGCTCGATCCCCAGTAGGGGGCGTGCAGGAGGCAGCCAGACCGTGATTCTCTCTCCTCATGGATGTTTCTATCTCTCTCTCTCCCTCAACCTTCGTCTGTAAAATAAAAATATATATATATATACTAGAGGCCCGATGCATGAAGATTCATGCAAGACTGGGCCTTCCTTCCCCTGGCTGCCAGCACCGCCTTCGCTCTGGCTGGAGCCACCTTTCCGCCTTCCCATGCTGCCCAGAGCCCCAAAGCGGCTGGGGTGGTGCAGAATGCCTGTGTCCCGCCCCACCCCCGGCACTCTGCGTATGCAAATTAACCCACCAGCTTTGTTGGGTTAATTTGCATACTCACTCCTGATTGGCTGGTAGGTGTCACGAAGGTACGGTCAGTTTGCATCTTTCTCTTTTATTAGTGTAGATATTGTAAAAAGTCGGCCACATGTAGATTGCAAATGAAATGCTCTCTCTCTGCACGGTAACCCCCCGTGGTTGCTGGGCAGGTGGGCGCGGGGCCGATGAGCCCGGGAGACACTCACTGTTGCTGGCGGCGGGCGTGGGGGTGAAGCGCAGGGCGACCTTCGCGCTCTTGAGGCGCGTCTGCCCCCAGTAGGCCACAGCCTGCAGCTCCACGCTGTAGTCGGAGTCCGGCTGCAGGCCCTCCAGGACCATGGAGTTCTGGGACTGGGGGACAGGTGGAGGGCACCGCAGTCACAGGCCACCCCGCCTCCCAGCCCCACCCCCACCCCCCCCCCGCAGGAGGCTGCCCCCCCATTCCAGAATCAGATCACGGTCTCCTCACACTCATGGATAACTTTCTAAGCTCACCCCTTCTTCCTCTTTTTTAATTTTTATTTTAAATATATATATAATTTTCAATCCTCACCTGAGGATATTTTTCCATTGATTTTTTGAGAGAGTGGAAGACAGAGGGAGAGACACAGAGAGAAACATCGATGTGAGAGAGACACATCGATGGGTTGCCTCCTACACGCGCCCCGAGCAGGACCCAGGCCGGGGAGGAGCCTGCAACCGAGGTATGTGCCCTTGACTGGAATTGAACCCAGGACCCTGCAGTCCGCAAGCTGACGCTCTAGCCACTGAGCTACACTGGCCAGGGCCTGAGTTCCTCTTTAAGACCTGCAAATCCAGCCCTGACCAGTATGGCTCAGTGGATAGAGCATCGGCCTGCAGACTCAAGGGTCCCAGATTCGATTCCCGGTCAAGGGCATGTACCTGGGTTGCGGGCACATCCCCAGTAGGGGGTGTGCAGGAGGCAGCTGGTCGATGTTTCTCTCTCATCGATGTTTCTAACTCTCTATCCCTCTCCCTTCCTCTCAGTAAAAAAATCAATAAAATATATTTTAAAAAAATAAAAATAAAAATAACGGAGGGAGAGCCCTGGCCAGCGGTTCGGTGGGTTGGTGCATCATCCCGTGCACCAAAAGGTTGCGGGTTCGATTTCATGGTCAGGGCGCATGCCCAGGTTTCGGGTTCAACCCCCCATTGGAGCAGGTATGGGAGGCAGCCCTTCAACGTTTCTCTCTCACATGGATGTTTCTCTCTATCCCTCCCTCCCTCTCTCAAAACCAACAACCATATTTATTTTTAATAATAATAATTATTATGATGATAATTATAAGCTAAAACTAGAGGCCTGATGCACGAAATTCGGCTTTGTCTGGAAGGTCGTCCAAAAGGTTGTTTGGCTGTCCGGTCTAATTAGCATATTATGCTTTTATTATTATAGATAATAATAATAAACTAAAATAGCATAACCCCCAAAGACTAGCACAGCTAAATATCAAGGGTGGCTTTGGAGACGTATTTTATAATTCCAAATGGCACAGATACCCGACCGGCAGGGCTCAGTGGTTGAGCATCGACCTATGAACCAGGAGGTCAGGGTCCGATTCCTGGTCGAGGGCACAGGCCCGGGGTTGCAGGCTCCATCCCCAGTAGGGGGCGTGCGGGAGGCAGCCGGTCCATGGTTCTCTCTCATCATTGTTTCTCTCTCTCTCTCTCTCTCTCTCTCTCTCTCTCTCTTCCTCTCTGAAATCCCATAAAAAATATATTTTAAAAAATAAACAAACACATGGCACAGATGCTGCCTCTTCAGCACAAAAAATAAAAAATAAATAAGATAGAGAAACGCTGTTGCTATTTTTGCTGAAAGACTTTCCAACGTGTGTTTGTTTCCTTATGGCCCCGGGGGAACCGCGTTTGTGCAACTTTGTAACAACTCGAAGCAACGCGGTCTCAGCCCCGAGGAAAGGAAGTGGCGGCTCCCGTGCCGTGGAACACGCGTGTGCTACGCTCTGCGCTGGCCCGTGGACACGGTCCCAGGGGATCGTGCCTGTGCCCGTTGCCGCTGGCCTTTCGGGAGCGAGCTGCTCCCTGGGCTACATGCAGGCATCGGCAACAGCGACGCCAAAGGCATCGTCCTCGCTGTGAGCCGTGGCGGTACCGTAGCCGACAAGGCATGATTATCGCTAATTGTTTAAAAAATAAAAAATAAAAAAAGGCATCGGGACTCTCTGACCTCCTGGGTGAGACTATAAGGGTGAAGGGGGGAACATTCCACTCCCTCCATCTGCTCCTTTTTTTTTTTTTTTTTTTTTTTGCTGTAAAAATATTTTTTTTCTGTTAATCTTTATTGTTGAAGGTATGACATAGGTCCTCCTTCTTCCCTCATTGACCTCTTCCAGCCACTCCTGTCCTCCCACCCCCCAACCCCCGCCAGGCCCTCCCCACCCCATCATCTGTGTCCACGCTGATGCATATACACACACACGTTCATTGGTTGGTCTCTCCCCTCCCAACCTCCCCTGCCTCCCCTCTGATGACCAGAAACAGACCCAGAGTCACAGAAGCACTAACGGACTGTGGAACATGGGCCCTGCGTTAGCTTGGCGGGCGGCAGCCGGGAGCTGGCATGGCCCCGAGGGCACTCGGCCTCTTACCCCGTCCACAGACATCCTGCGCCTCTTCCTCGCGGGAACCCCTGCGCTGCGGGTGGCCCAGCTCCAGAAGACCTTGTAGTGGTGCACGGGGACATCCGGCTCCTGGGGCCCGTCCCAGGCCAGTGTGACGGTCACACTCCCGTCACCGTGGCTGGTGGCATTGGCGAGCCGGAGGCGGGCGGGAGCCGCAGGGGCCGACGGATCTGGAATCCCAGGAGAGGGGCGGCCATGGGACCCCAGCACCGAGCGGGACACAGAGTGGGGATCTGTGCACCCGTGCTGACCACAGGGCATGGGGCACCGTTTCTCTCCATACGGTGTCCCCCCGAAATGTGGTCACACGCTTTGAATAATTATGAAGGCCGTGTTTATTAAAACCGGAGGCCTGGTGCACGAAATTTGTGCACTGGGGGGGGGGAGGCCCTCAGCCTGGATGTGAGAGGTCACAGGTTGGGCCGAGGGACCCCACTGGTGCACGATCGGGGCCGGGAAGGGATGTGGAGGCTGGCCAGCTGGGGAGGGACCGCGGGAGGGCTCCAGGGCATGTCTGGCCCGTCTTGCTCAGTCCTGATTGGCCGGACCCCAGCAGCAAGCTAACCTACCAGTCAGAGCGTCTGCCCCCTGGTGGTCAGTGCACATCATAGCGACTGGTCGACCAGTCGACTGTCTGCCCCCTGGTGGTCAGTGCACGTCATAGCGTGCGGTTGAGTGGCCTTAGCATATCATTAGCATGTTACATTTTGATTGGTTGAACGGCCGACCGGTCGACCGGACACTTAGCATAGTGGCTTTTATTATATAGGATACATTTCATTTTCGAAATGGAGCTCACGGCTGTGAAAGTGTGTATACCCTTTGGGGGGACACCCGGTATGTATAATACCAGCTGGAAACCAGTAATAAATAAGACCCCTCTTGCCCGGCCGGTGTGGCTCAGGGGTTGAGCATCGACCTATGAACCAGGTGGTCACGGTTCGATTCCAGGTCGGAGCACGTGACCGGGTTGCAGGCTCGATCCCCCGTGTGGGGCGTACGGGAGGCAGCTGATCTATGATTCTCTCTCATCATGGATGTTTCTCTCTCTCTCCCTCTCCCTTCCTCTCTGGGGTCAATAAAAATATATTTAAAAAAAATACCCACAAATGGTATTCGTCTCGAAAAGAAAAAGTGTGGAAACGGACACACCAATCTGTGAAAAGTGAGACGTTTCTGTAAAAACAGGTGTTCTATGTTTTGGGGAAGCAAATGCGTTAAAAGGAAATAAACTCGCTTGGTCGCCAACCCAGCCAGCGAACCGCAGACTCACGTATCGAAGTTTCCCCGTAAAGGAGAGACTGACAGGAATTTGGGGTTTTTTTCCATGAAGATCGGGGTTCGGGCCCAGGAATGCCGGGCAGCGAGCCTGAGCTTCACGGAAGCCCTTTCGTCAAGTTGCTCTTTCTTTCTCTACTTAATCTGACGGTTATTTTCGGGGCTGTTTGGGAGGAGGGTGGGGTGCAGGAGGGGCATGCTCACCCCTGGAGGAGTGGACATGCTTGCTGGGGTCCCCAGGAGGAGGGTGGGGTGCAGGAGGGGCATGCTCACCCCTGGAGGAGTGGAAGTGCTTGCTGGGGGGCCTGGGGGGAGGATGGGGTGCAGGAGGGGGCATGCTCACCCCTGGAGGAGTGGAAGTGCTTGCTGGGGTTTCCGGGGGGAGGGTGGGGTGCAGGAGGGGTATGCTCACCCCTGGAGGAGTGGAAGTGCTTGCTGGGGTTCCTGGGGGGAGGATTGGGTGCAGGAGGGGGCATGCTCACCCCTGGAGGAGTGGAAGTGCTTGCTGGGGTTCCTGGGGGGAGGATTGGGTGCAGGAGGGGGCATGCTCACCCCTGGAGGAGTGGAAGTGCTTGCTAGGGGGCCTGGGGGGAGGATGGGGTGCAGGAGGGGGATGCTCACCCCTGGAGGAGTGGAAGTGCTTGCTGGGGTTCCCGGGGTGAGGGTGGGGTGCAGGAGGGGTATGCTCACCCCTGGAGGAGTGGAAATGCTTGCTGGGGTTCCCGGGGTGAGGGTGGGGTGCAGGAGGGGTATGCTCACCCCTGGAGGAGTGGAGGTGCTTGCTGGGGGGCCAGGGGGGATGATGGGGTGCAGGAGGGGCATGCTCACCCCTGGAGGAGTGGAAGTGCTTGCTGGGGTCCCCGGGGGGAGGATGGGGTGCAGGAGGGGGCATGCTCACCCCTGGAGGAGTGGAGGTGCTTGCTGGGGGGCCTGGGGGGAGGATTGGGTGCAGGAGGGGGCATGCTCACCCCTGGAGGAGTGGAGGTGCTTGCTGGGGGGCCTGGGGGGAGGATGGGGTGCAGGAGGGGCATGCTCACCCCTGGAGGAGTGGAGGTGCCTGCTGGGGGGCCTGGGGGGAGGGTGGGGTGCAGGAGGGGGCATGCTCACCCCTGGAGGAGTGGAAGTGCTTGCTGGGAGCCGTGAAGCCGCGGGTCCCATGCACGTTGACGGCTGCCACCCGGAACTGGTACCACCGGCTGGGCCGGATGTCCGCCAGCCGTGCCCGCTCGTCCGTGGTCTGTGGGGTCACAAAGCACAGGGGAGCCCCTTATTCTCACACGGCAGGGGGTCCGTTTCCAAAGACAAGCTCGAGGGTCCAGGCAGCTGAGACCTCGCCCCCTTCCCACCCCGAGGCTGGGGCGCCTCCCTCTCACACCCCAACTGGAGCTGGCGGTCGAGCCCGCAGCCAAGGTACGCGCCCTTGACCGGGAATCGAACCCAGGACCCTTCGGTCCGAGGGCCGGCACGCTAACCACTGAGCCGCACTGGCCAGGGGTGGTGGTTGTTTTGGGTTTTTTTACAAAATGGGTAGAGAATAGAATTACGGGATTCACTTGGCCGGGTTTCCCCCTCCATTTAAGATGCTTCTTTTGCATCGAACGTCTCAGTTATGTTGGGGCCTTTAAATTAGTTCAGACTTTATTCTGCTTGGGGGGATTCTACTGTTGGCAAAAGGCCCGAATCCCCTCGCTGAACACCTGGGCACGGGAGTGCGTTGTTTTTTTAAAAAAATATATATTTACTAGAGGCCCGGTGCACGAAATTTGTGCACCATGGGGGAGGGGGGGTGTCCCTCAGCCCGGGCTGCACCCTCTCCAATCTGGGACGTCCCTCTCGCAATCCAGGACCGCTGGCTCCTAACTGCTCGCCTGCCTGCCGGCCTGATCGCCCCTAACCACTCTGCCTGCTGGCCTGATCGCCCCCAACTCCCCCCCCCGCCAGCCTGCTTGCCCCCAACTGCCCCCTGCCAGCCTGATCACCCCTAACTGCCCCACCCCTGCCGGCCTGATCGCCCCTAATCTGCCTCCGCCTCGGCCCCGCCACCATGGCTTTGTCCGGAAGGATGCCCGGAAGGTCTCCCGGTCTAATTAGCATATTACCCTTTTATTAGTATAGATTGGTTTCAGAGAGAGAAACATCCATGATGAGAGAGAATCACGGATCAGCTGCCTCCTGCATGCCCCCCACTGCGGGTCAAGCCCGCAACCCGGGCCTGTGCCCTTGACCGGGAATCGAACCCTGACCTCCTGGTTCCTAGGTCAATGCCCAACCCCTGAGCCACGCCGGCCGGGCTGCTTTATTCTCTCTCTATCTCGGGGTAGACGCCTTGCGCCCGGCGTCCGTTTAACAGCTTTGGAAAGAAAAGGGGATATTGTGTTCCCTCTGCCCGGGGCAGAGCGGCAGGGGCCGGGCCGAGATAAACGCGGCCAATCGCCTTGTCAAGGGGCCGAGACGGAGCAGACAGCCCCTGGCAGGTTTGGCGAGCCGCCGGCGGCTCCCCCCGGCCGGCTGATAGGCGTCTGCCCGGCCACGCGGGTCCGGGCGGAACAAAGGCTCACACTCAGGAGACACGGAGAGAAGGCACTTCCTGATCGCATGTCGGATGAACGGGTCCTGGCTCTCGCCGGCTGCCGGCTTATCTCCAGGGAGGGCAGTTCTTGGAGGAAGTGTCCGCACTCGGATTAGAAAATTATCTCCTTCCACGGGGTTTGCAGCACAAGGAGCTCACAGTCAGGTGTCGCGAGGAGCTGCCCAGCCCGTCTCTGGCAGACGCCCACGCAGACGCTGCTTCGGGCTGCCAGGCGGCAGCGTACCTCGCTAGTTTATAAAAATACTAGAGGCCCGGTGCACGAAATTCGTGCACGGGGGGGTAGGGGGGGTGTCCCTCAGCCCGGCCTGCACCCTCTCCAATCGGGGACTCTCCCCCGGGGGATGTCCACAGGGATTGGGCCTAAACCGGCAGTCGGACATCCCTCTCGCAATCCGGGACCGCTGGCTCCTAACTGCTCACCTGCCTGCCTGCCTGATCGCCCCTAACCACTCTGCCTGCCGGCCTGCTCGCCCCCAACTGCCCCCCCTGCAGGCCTGATCGCCCCCAACCCCACCCCCCTGCCGGCCTGATCACCCCCAACTGCCCTCCCCTCCTGGCCTGATCGCCCCTAACCGCCTCGGCCTCAGCCCCGCCACCATGGCTTTGTCTGGAAGGACGTCCGGAAGGTCTCCCGGTCTAATTAGCATATTACCCTTTTATTAGTATAGATATATTTCTATTGAGTTCAGAGAGGAAGGGAGAGGGAGAGACGGATAGAAACATCCATGATGAGAGAGAATCATGCATCGGCTGCCTCCTGCACGCCCCCCACTGGTTGGGGATGGAGCCCACAGCTGGGCCTGTGCCCCGACCGGGAATTGAACCCTGACCTCCTGGTTCCTAGGTCGATGCTCAGCCACCGAGCCCTGCCGTCCGGGGTCCGTGCGGCACTGGCTGGTGTGGGGGGGCCCGGCCGGAAGGAGAAGGACCGCCCGGCCCCGCACTCACCTGCCCCACCGTCTGCCAGGCCGTGGCCTCGTCCTCGCTGGGGTGCAGGCCCGCGTTCCACCTCCTCTGCAGCACGTAGGTCACCGGCTCGATGGAGACGTTGAACCTCGAGGACCACCTGACCTCCAGGTGCCCGGAGGGCAGTTCCGCGAACCGCAGCTCCTTCCTGGGCTTTAGGGGGACGCCTGCAACGGGACCGCGCCTGTTACCGCCGCTGACCCCCTGCCGGCCTGATCGCCCCCAACTGCCCTGCCCGCCGGCCTGATCGCCCCCAACTGCCCCCCTGCCACCCTGATCGCCCCCAACTGCCTGCTCCCGCTGGCCTGATCACCCCCAACTGCCCCCCTTGCTGGGCTGATCGCCCCCAACTGCCCCCCCCACCAGCCTGATCGCCCCCAACTGCCCCCCTGCCGGCCTGATTGCCCCCAACTGCCCCCCTTGCTGGGCTGATCACCCCCAACTGCCCCCCCGCCAGCCTGATTGCCCCCAACTGCCCCCCCCCACCGGCCTACTCGCCCCCAACTGCCTGCCTCCGCCGGCCTGATCGCCCCCAACTGCCTGCCTACGCCGGCCTGATCGCCCCCAACTGCCCCCCCCACCGGCCTACTCGCCCCCAACTGCCTGCCTCCGCCAGCCTGATCGCCCCCAACTGCCCCCCCCGCTGGCCTGATCGCCCCCAACTGCCCCCCCGCTGGCCTGATTGCTCCCAACTGCCCTGCCCGCCGGCCTAATCGCCCCCAACTGCCCACCCCCACCGGCCTGATTGCCCCCAACTGCCCCCCTGCCGGCCTGATCGCCCCCGACTGCCCCCCCTGCCAGCCTGATCGCCCCCAACTGCCCCCCCGCCGGCCTGATCGCCCCCAACTGCCTGCCCCCGCCGGCCTGATCGCCCCCAACCGCCCCCCCGCCAGCCTCATCGCCCCCAACTGCCCCCCGCCCCCGCTGGCCTGCTCGCCCCCAACTGTGGGGGTGCGGGGCGCTCAGACCCAGGCTGAGGGGGAGGAGGAACCACAGGCAATTCTCGTCTGCCTCCTTTCTTTAAAAAAAAATACTTTTTTAAAATTGATTTCAGAGAGGAAGGGAGAGGGCGAGAGAGAGAGAGACATCAGTGACCAGAGGGAATCCTGGACCGGCTGCCTCCTGCACGCCCCCTGCTGGGGATCGAGTGCCCTGACGAGGAATCGAACCGCGACCTCCTGGTCCATCGGTCGACGCTCACCCACTGAGCCACCCGGCCGGGCCCCGCCTCCGTTCCCATCCCGGCTTCGCGTTGGCGACCTCTAGGCCCCGAGGCCATACCGGCCCCTCTCCCAGGAGTCTCGGCCCCTGGTTCTAACTGGGTCCACGCGGGTCCCTGGTTCTGGACATGCTTCCCCCCCAGTAACCTGGAGGGCCTTTGCTTTCTTTCTTTTTTTATGAATTTCGTGCACCGGGCCCCTGGTGCACGAAATGTTATTAGTGTAGATACATGTCCATTGAGTTCAGAGAGGAAGGGGGAGGGAGAGAATCCTCACCTGGGGATGTTTTCCCATTGATTTTTAGAGGGAGCGAAAGAGAGAGGGAGGGAGAGAGAGAGAGAAACATCAAAGGGAGAGAGAAGCACCTCGATGGGTCGCCTTCTGCACGCGCCTCGTCCAGGGCACAGGCCGGGGAGGAGCCTGCAACCGAGGTCCGTGCCCTTGACCGGGGATCGAACCCGGGACCCTTCGGTCCGCCGGCCGACGCTCTAACCACTGAGCAACACCGTCCCGGGCTCCCGGGCCTTTTCTGTGTGTGTTCCTCACGCTGCCGGGGCGTCTGTGAGGCCGACGTGGGCTTCACAGGAGGGACACCCCACACCGTTTCAAGTCCTTCGCCCACACAGCGGGCTCGGTCATGACAGCTCGGCCCCCGCCTGCTGTCCGCTGGGACTCAGGGGTTTTCCTTTTACAGAAACGCTGTAAACCCCGTGACCCCAGGGGGGCGGGGGCACATCTTATGACCCTGACTTCCATGGCGCACGAAATGCGTGCAAGGGGCTCGGCTTTGTCCGGAAGGTCGTCCGGAAGGACGTCTGGAAGGCTGTCCGGTCTAATTAGCATATCATGCTTTTCTTATTATAGACTAGAGGCCCGGTGCATGAAATTCATGCACGGGGTGGGGGTGTCCCTCAGCCCAGCCTGCACCCTCTCCAATCTGGGACGCCTCGGGGGATGTCCGACTGCCGTCTTAGGCCCGATCCCTGCATTTGCTCTGACCGGGAATCGAACCCTGACCTCCTGGTTCACAGGTCGACGCCCAACCCCTGAGCCATGCCGGCCGGGCTCAGGGCTTATTTTGTTGGCTAATTTGTTTTGTTCGTTCGATTCCCTGAGTAGATTTCCTTAGGCTTTTATCTTTCTGTGCAATCGGGCCCCTTGGCTGACCGCTCCCCAGCACACAGGGACCCCGGTGGGGATGATGGGGGATGGGGGGGAGGGGGAGGGGGGAGGGGGATGACACCCTCCCATACCCGCAGGCTCCTACCTTTGTACAGCGTCTTGGGCACCTGGCAGGTGTGCCCACAGCCGTTGGAGCAGCACTTCTTCACCCCCGAGCACTCGCGGTCCTGCTCACAGCTCTCCACGCAGGCGGCCGCGAAGCCGCTGGCCCTCTCGGGGGCCGGGCAGTCCCCCTGCTTGACGGCCAGCACGTGCTGCAGGAACTCACAGCTCGTCAGGCACTCGTGGCTTCGTTTGGGGAACAGAGGCTGCGGGGGAGACCAGGGCAATTCTGCTCAGCCAAACACAAGACATCGCAGAGGGAGACCAGGGCAATTCCGCTCAGCCCCGCACACGGCGTTGCAAAGGGAGGCCAGAACAATTCCGCTCAGCCCCGCACACGACGTCGCAAAGGGAGGCCAGAACAATTCCGCTCAGCCCCGCACACGACTCACAAAGGGAGGCCAGAACAATTCCGCTCAGCCCTGCACACGACTCACAAAGGGAGGCCAGGGCAATTCCGCTCAGCCCCGCACACGACGTCGCAAAGGGAGGCCAGAACAATTCCGCTCAGCCCCGCACACGACGTCGCAGAGGGAGACCAGAACAATTCCGCTCAGCCCCGCACACGACTCACAAAGGGAGGCCAGAACAATTCCGCTCAGCCCCGCACACGACTCACAAAGGGAGGCCAGAACAATTCCGCTCAGCCCCGCACACGACTCACAAAGGGAGGCCAGAACAATTCCGCTCAGCCCCGCACACGACGTCGCAAAGGGAGGCCAGAACAATTCCGCTCAGCCCCGCACACGACGTCGCAAAGGGAGGCCAGAACAATTCCGCTCAGCCCCGCACACGACATCGCAAAGGGAGGCCAGAACAATTCCGCTCAGCCCCGCACACGACTCACAAAGGGAGACCAGAACAATTCCGCTCAGCCCCGCACACGGCGTCGCAAAGGGAGACCAGGGCAATTCCGCTCAGCCCCGCACACGACATCGCAAAGGGAGACCAGGGCAATTCCACTCAGCCCCGCACACGGCGTCGCAGAGGGAGACCAGAACAATTCCACTCAGCCCCGCACACGGCGTCGCAGAGGGAGACCAGGGCAATTCCGCTCAGCCCCGAACACGACGTCGCAAAGGGAGACCAGAACAATTCCACTCAGCCCCGCACACGGCGTCGCAGAGGGAGACCAGGGCAATTCCGCTCAGCCCCGCACACGACGTCGCAGAGGGAGGCCAGGGCAATTCCGCTCAGCCCTGCACACGACTCACAAAGGGAGACCAGGGCAATTCCGCTCAGCCCCGCACACGGCGTCGCAGAGGGAGACCAGGGCAATTCCGCTCAGCCCCACACACAACGTCGCAGAGGGAGGCCAGGGCAATTCCGCTCAGCCCCGCACACGGCGTCGCAGAGGGAGACCAGAACAATTCCGCTCAGCCCCGCACACGACTCACAAAGGGAGACCAGGGCAATTCCGCTCAGCCCCGAACACGACGTCGTAAAGGGAGACCAGGGCAATTCCGCTCAGCCCCGAACACGACGTCGCAGAGGGAGACCAGGGCAATTCCGCTCAGCCCCGCACACGGCGTCGCAAAGGGAGGCCAGAACAATTCCGCTCAGCCCCGCACACGGCGTCGCAAAGGGAGACCAGGGCAATTCCACTCAGCCCCGCACACAACGTCGCAAAGGGAGGGAGGTCAGAACCGTTCTTCCGTCCAAATGGTTGACAGAGCAAATGCGCTCCCTTCCTTCCCACTGCAGAAGTCGTGTTTAGCCCTGGCCAGTGTGGCTCAGTGGATAGAGCGTCGGCCTGCAGACCAGAGGGTCCTGGGTTCGATTCCGGTCAAGGGCACGGACCTCCGTGGCAGGCTCCTCCCCGGCCTGGGCCCTGGTCGAAGGGCGCGTGCAGGAGGCAGCCCATCCATGTGTTTCTCTCTGATCGATGTTTCTCTGTCTCTCCCACTCTCTCTAAAAATCAATGGGAAAATATCCTCGGGGAGGATTAAAAAAAAGAAAGAAGAAGAAGTCCTATTTATGCTCGTGTCCTACAGGATTATGACCCACGACAGGTTAGCGGTAGCCCCAGGGAGCCCAGGAAGACGGCATATTGGGGATAGATTTTTCTTTTAAAAGTTTTTTTTATAGATTTCAGAGAGGAAGGGAGAGGGAGAGAGAGACAGAAACATCCATGATGAGAGAGAATCATGGATTGGCTGCCTCCTACACGCCCCCTACTGGGGATCCAGCCCGCAACCCGGGCATGTGCCCTAGACCGAACCCGGGACCCTTCAGTCCGCCGGACGATGCTCTACCCATTGAGCCACACAGGCCAGGACAGTATTTTTCTTTTTTATCTGCATTCTCTCTCTCTCTCTCTCTCTCTCTCTCTCTCTCTCTCTCTCTCTCTCACACACACACACACACACACACACAGTAACTGACCGCCCAGCTACAGACGGACGGTGACCCCCCATTGGTCCCCATCAGCCAGGACACAGGCACATGCAGGCACCTGGGTGGCCGCCCCACTTACCTCGCAGAAGCTCAGACACCCCTCCTTCTGCAGGTCCCGCGTCTCCTTGCAGGGCGCCAGGCACTGGGAGATGGACAGTAAGAGGCATTAGCAACACGGGGAGAAACCGCGGCGGGAAGATAGGGCTCACCTGTGCCCCTCACTTCTCCACGCCCCGCCCCCCCTTCCTGGGCCAGTGGTCCTCAACCTGGGGCACACGCCCCCCAGGGGGGCCGTTTGGTTCTTAAGGGGGGCAATTCGAGAAGGAGTGATTCACAGTGAATTTTCTGCATTTCTTAGGGCCCTCGGGGCACCCTATGCAGTGTCCTATATAATAAAAGCGGGGTACGCAAATTGTCCCCTCAACCGGGAGGGCGTCCGTCCGGGAGTTCGACCAGGGGGCGGGGCCGGCCGGGGAAGGGAGGGAGGCCACGGCCGACAGCCGGCAGCCGCTAGGGACCCTGCCAGTGCACGGATTTCGTGCACCGGGCCTCTAGGATAAATATATATGGTGGCATATTTATGCATTTCAGGCATCTGTTCTATGTTCTGAAACTATTGGCTATTTTTTCCTATCCCTTCATATTATTATAATTATTATTATTTTAACCATTTCTTAGTGATTTCTTCCTCAGGACTCCTGCGGTCCTTCCGTTCTTTTACTTTTCCCTTTCATGGAGGCCGTGTTCTTTGGACGCGTGTGTAGACCAAGTGAACGGCCTTTCAGGCTTCCTCCGTGTGAATAGGAGTTCACTTTTTTAAAAAATTTATTTATTTATTTTACAGGAGTAGCTCTCTTTAAAAAAAAAAAAACAACATTTTTATCGATTTCAGAGAGGAAGGGAGAGGGGAGAGAGACAGAAACGTCAATGATGAGAGAGAATCATGGATGGGCTGCCTCCGGCAGGCACCACACTGGGGGGATGTCTGACTACGGGATCGGGCCTAAACCAGTAAACATCCCTCTCGCAATCTGGGACTGCTGGCTCCTAACTGCTCGCCTGCCTGCCTGGTTGCCCCCTAACTTTTCCCCTGCTGGCCTGGTTGCCCCCTAACCGCTCCCTGCTGGCCTGATCGCCCCTAACTGTTCCCCTGCTGGCCTGGTCTCCCCTAACTGCTCCCCTGCTGGCCTGATTGCCCCCTAACCGCTCCCCTGCTGGCCTGGTTTCCCCCTAACTTTTCCCCTGCTGGCCAGGTTGCCCCCTAACCACTCCCCTGCCTGCCTGTTCGCCCCATAACTGCCTCTGACTCGGCCCCCACACCCGGGACCCAGGCTCCCCTCCTCGGGCCGGCTGCAGGCACCCGGGACCCGGGGCAGCTTCCCCTTGGCCCCAGCCTTGTCAGGAAGGATGTCCAGAATGACGCCAGGAAGACGTCCAGTCCGTCCGGTCTAATTAGCATACTACCCTTTTATCAGTACAGCCATATAATTAAATAGACATATTAGTGTGTACTCTCCTCATAACTTCTCCAAAGTGCTGCAAACCAGGTCAAAACTTAAATTGCATCACGTCATCTTAAACGACTGGAAATCTCAGAGGCCACGCGTTCCTCCGGCCGACCGCCCCGGGCACGGGTCTGGAGGCGGAGGAGGTGGGCGCTGCCTGAGCAGCCGTCCGTCGATGAGAGGAAACGGGGGGTGGAGGGGCGAGCGGTTTGCAGGGGCGGCCTCCTGCTGTCTGGATGGTGCATTCCCCCCCCAGGAGCAGCCGAGCCAGCCTCCTGCAGGCTTTGTGCCGTCTGTGAGTGAGTGAGTGGGTAGGTCAAGCACAGCTAGGGAGCCCCCCAGTCCAGGGCCAGGCAATTTTGGGGGGCCCCACAGGCCGGGGCCAGGCCGTCCTGGGAACTCCCCGGTCTGAGGCCAGCTAGTCCCGGGGGCCCCAAGTCCAGGGCTAGAGAGTCATGGGGGCCAGGTGCCTCCGGGGCCCCCCAATCTGGGCCCAGGCTGTCGGGCCGTCGGGAGGTCCCAGGTCGGCTCCCGTGGCTGTGTGATGCCCCCCGTTTCTCATGATATAACCCAGGAACTGCGCTCACCGGCCAGGGTGCCATCAGCCTCCGGCCATGCCCCGCCCGGCTTTGCACCCCATAAACCCTCCTCCAGCATCAAAGCCAAACCTCACCCACCGTGAAGGGCGGAAATGAGTCTCCCTCCTCCCTCTGCAGGGCGATGGGTCCCCTCCTTCGTCGGCATTTACAACCCGGTGGGTGGCACCTGACGAATGACTAGCCCAGGTGGTGTCTGCAGGCCCTGCCTCCTGCCCGAGCCCAGTCCGCTGGGCCTGGGGGGCCCGCCTGCTGCAGGGAATGGGGCGTCCTCTCCACGGCTCCCCAGAGGCGGAGCGGGAACAGGGGGTGGCGGGGACGTGTGCGTGATGGAGGGGGGCCCTGATCACGGGCGACACTGAGCTGCCCGTCGGGGGAGGGGGGGGGGTCCAGGGGCTGGGGCTGTTTGGGGACCAGCAATTGCTTTTTATTTTTATTTTTTTAAATATATTTTATTGATTTTTTACAGAGAGGAAAGGAGAGGGACAGAGAGTCGGAAACATCGATGAGAGAGAAACATCGATCAGCCGCCTCCTGCGCGCCCCCCACTGGGGAGGAGCCCGCAACCCAGGTCCATGCCCTTGGCCGGAATCGAACCCGGGACCCTTCAGTCCACAGGCCGACGCGCTACCCACTGAGCCACCCGGCCAGGGCTGGATTTCTTTATTTAAGAGTCAGGGTGGGAGGGAGAGACACATCGAGGTGAGAGAGAAACTTGGATGTGCCTCTGACCGCAAATGGAGCCCATGAGCCCGGGGTGTGCGGGCCGGCGCGCTACCCACTGAGCCACCCGGCCAGGGCTGGATTTCTTTATTTAAGAGTCAGGGTGGGAGGGAGAGAGACACATCGAGGTGAGAGAGAAACCTGGATGTGCCTCTGACCGCAAATGGAGCCCATGAGCCCGGGGTGTGCGGGCCGACGCGCTACCCACTGAGCCACCCCGGCCAGGGCTGCCTCAGCAGGGCTGCCTCCGGGCGCAGGTGTGTTCGACGCCCCCCCCCCCAACAGCTGCAGGAGCGGGTCCCGGATGCCGGGAACTGGACCCCCGATGACGGGGCCTTCGGGGCCGGGAGGAGTCCCCCCCCCCCCCCCCCCCCCGCGTGGAGCACGTGAGCCGCTGCCGTGTGCGCGAGGCCAGGCGTGTCCTCAGGTTCCACGCGGGACCCGCGGGCAGGGCCGTGCGTGGGGGGACGAGCTTCTCCATCAGGATTCCCAGGTTCTTAAGGAGCAAACCCAGCGGCCCCTCCCCTGCGTCCACACCCCAAAGCCGCGGGGGGGGGGGGGGGGCCCTAGAGCCCCTGAGAGTCCAGCGGGGCGGGGCCTTCGCGAACACTTTGCTGCCTCTCCTGTGGCTCCCAGGGCCCTCCCAGCCCCCCAACCCCCCGGGGTTCAGCCCCCCCCCAGGGCTCAGCCCCACACCCTCAGGGCTCAGCCCCACACCCCCAGGGCTCAGCCCCACACCCCCAGATCTCAATCCCACCCCCACCCCCAGGGCTCAGTCCCACCCCCTCCCCAGGGCCCAGCACCCCCCCAGGGCTCAGCCCCACACCCCCAGATCTCAATCCCACCCCTACCCCCAGGGCTCAGTCCCACCCCCTCCCCAGGGCCCAGCACCCCACCCCCAGGGCTCAGCCCCCCACCCCCAGGGCTCAGCCCCCCACCCCCAGGGCTCAGCCCCACACCCCCAGATCTCAATCCCACCCCCACCCCCAGGGCTCAGCCCCCCACCCCCAGGGCTCAGCCCCACCCCCTCCCCAGGGCCCAGCACCCCCCCCAGGGCTCAGCCCCACCCCCACCCCCAGGGCTCAGCCCCACCCCCTCCCCAGGGCCCAGCACCCCCCCAGGGCTCAGCCCCACACCCACCCCCAGGGCTCAGTCCCACCCCCTCCCCAGGGCCCAGCACCCCCCCAGGGCTCAGCCCCACACCCACCCCCAGGGCTCAGTCCCACCCCCCCCAGGGCCCAGCACCCCCCCCCCAGGGCTCAGTCCCACCCCCTCCCCAGGACTCAGCACCCCCCCCCAGGGCTCAGCCCCCCACCCCCAGGGCTCAGCACCCCCCCCCAGGGCTCAGTCCCACCCCCTCCCCAGGGCTCAGCACCCCCCCCCAGGGCTCAGTCCCACCCCCTCCCCAGGACTCAGCACCCCCCCCCAGGGCTCAGCCCCCCACCCCCAGGGCTCAGCACCCCCCCCAGGGCTCAGCCCCCCACCCCCAGGGCTCAGCACCCCGTCCAGGTCCAGCACCCACACCCCCAGGGCTCAGTCCCACCCCCTCCCCCAGGGCCCAGCACCCCACCCCCAGGGCTCAGCACCCCGTCCAGGTCCAGCACCCACACCCCCAGGGCTCAGTCCCACCCCCTCCCCCAGGGCCCAGCACCCCACCCCCAGGGCTCAGCACCCCGTCCAGGTCCAGCACCCACACCCCCAGGGCTCAGTCCCACCCCCTCCCCCAGGGCCCAGCACCCCCACCCGCGGCTCGCTCAGCCCTGGCTAGGCCTCTCCGGCGATTTCACGATTTCACGCTGTGCTGAAAGGCAGGGCTGTTCCCCGGGGACCTGAAAGGCTGCTTTGTCAGCAGGTGGGGGGTGCGGGAGGCCTGCCTTCTGGGGGCGCATCCGTCTGTCCTCCCGCCTGGGTCCCCTCACGGGAGGGGGGAGGGAGGGGCACAGAGCGGGGCCTGTTTCGGCCGGGCCCTCCCCCCTCCCCCCTTCCCGCCCCCCTCCCCGCCCTGCAGGGCTGCCCACCGCCCGATGCCCACCCAGCAGGTTCCCAGAGCCTGGCCCCCTCCCTGCTGCTGGCTGCGGTCTCACCTGTTGCTCAGACAACAACATAAAAATAATAATAATAATAATAATAAAACAACAGGTTTAATCGGCAGGTGCCCGCCCGGGAATCCAACCAGGGACCGTCTGGTGCAGGGACGCCCCTCAAATCAGCGTCAGTTTGCTTTTTAATGTATTTTTTTATTGATTTCAGGGAGGAAGGGGAGAGGGAGAGAGAGAGAGGAACCTCAATGACGAGAGAGAATCGCCGATCGGCCGCCTCCTGCACGCCCCCCACTGGGGATGGAGCCCGCAACCCGGGCCTGTGCCCTTGACCGGGAATCGAACCCGTGACCTCCTGGCTCGTAAGCTGACGGTTGCCCACGCTGACCGGGCACCCGTGTCAGAGTCGTCTGCCGCCCACGACAGCTGCCCGGGGGGCCAGAGCGGCTGCAGGGAGTCCAGCCGTCTCATGGGGACTGACCTTTCTCCAGAGGCCACGGGGCTGAGCCGGGTGCCCCCGGGGCAGCCACCGGCAGCAGAGCACGCTCGGCCCCTGAGCCTGTCTGCCGGTGCCCCCACCTGCCGGGGGACACTTCAATAAAAGTATTTTTTAAAGAGAAACAGCACAGAGAGGGACGAAGGGATGCCTGTAACAGAGTCGGAGAACCAGGCCCGGGCTGTGGGGACGCGTGTCAGCCAGAGGCGGCGGCCTTGTGTCCACACTGTTCAATCCAAGGAGCAGGATGGGAGTGGGGGGCGGGGGGTCCAACGTGCAGCCCCAGAGGGCGCCATCCCCCTGACATCCCCCTGCCCACCCCCAGTCACACAGCTCCGTGTCCGTGTCCACTCCTCCTCCTGGCATCGCCGGAATCCGACACCGTCCTGGGCACGCAGTAGGTGCACAGGAAACGCACAGGGCATGAGAGAAGGAGGAGACTCGAAACCGTCACTCATGGTGCAGCTGGGAAGCCACGGCTGTTTCCAGGGGAGATGGCCGGGGGCGCCAGGCTGTTGACCAGAGTGGCTGTGGCCCTCGGGGATGATGCAGCGAAGTCCCTTTGGCCTCGACCTTGAGGGGAATGACCTCCTGGCCGCTGCGGCCCCAGACCCTGCCCGCCCGCACTTGCACCTACAGCCCCAGGGCCGGAGCTGACGCGGCCCCGCCGCCCCCGGCCGGGAACCTGACCCCTGGGTCTGCAGGACGAGGTCTGAGAGGACGGTCACGTATCACAGCAAAGGCTGTTTATACCCAGAGAGTGTGCTGTCCGGTCCAAAGCCCTACCCAGGCCGTGCCTGCGCTCGGAGACGCACGGAATCCATGGGGCCCGCCCAGGCCCGACCCCGCCCGGCACAGAGAGCCGCGTCCGGCACCAGAGAATCAGACCGCTCTGATCTCCTGCCGAAACCTGGCCAGGCTGGGGGCGGGATCTGGGTCCTTCCCCGGCCAGCGAACAGGACGGACGCTCCTGGCTTCCTGCATTATCTGCCCTGACCCACCCGCGGCTCCTTGTGAGGCACCAGGCCAGGAGGCCATCTCCCCGGCCCATCTCCCCGCCGGCCGGGGTGCCCTGGCTCCCTGTGGGGGCTGCGGGCCGGGCTGGCGGCTGCCGGGGCCCCAGGCCGGGGAGGAGCCCACAACCCAGGCCTGTGCCCTGGACCGGGATCGAACCCTGACCACCTGGTTCCTAGGCCGACGCTCACCCCCTGAGCCAGGCCGGCCGGGCACGGGGTCCTCCAACTCCCGTCTGTGTTTCCGGAGCCGCCGGCTCTTGGTGAGGGACGGGGTCCGAGGTGGCGAGATGTCCAGCTCACGGATGAGGCCGCACACTTGGCGTCCCCTCTCCCCAGAGCCTGGGGGGGGGGGGGGGCTCCGTGCCCACGGCGGCGCCGGAGAAAGGCAGGGCCCCAGACCCGGGCGCAGGACACTGTGCTCACTGAGGCAGACAAACGCGTGAAAGGGGCGTTTGGTTCCCACAGTGCCCCCCCCCCCCCCCGACATCTCTGGGCAGGGGCGGGGGGAGCGAGGGTTACCCCGAGTGCAGGCTCTTCGCTCACACAGGACGGGACAATGCACTGCCCTGGGATGCAAAACGCAGCACCCAGGCAGGCCCTCCCTGGGAGCCAGGCACACACACCCCCCTCCGTCCCCCCGCCCAGTGCGGGGCCTGGGTCCCCCATCTTTTGTGCATTTGCTTTCTCTTGGGAAACAGCTCCGGCAGCGGCAGCCACCCAAGTTCATTCAACTTCTCAGCGGGAGAACCAGCGGCCGGCCAAGGGCCAGCTTCAGGCAGGCCTATGGGGACGCACACGGGGCAGAGCTGGTCGGGTGGCCACCTCCCCACTGGACGGCGCCCCGTGCGGGCCCACAGCCCCCTGCCCCCTGGACGGCGCCCCGTGCAGGCCCACAGCCCCCTGCCCCCTGGACGGCGCCCCGTGCAGGCCCACAGCCCCCTGCCCCCTGGACCATGCCCCGTGCAGGCCCACAGCCCCCTGCCCCCTGGACCATGCCCCATGGAGGCGTGCGAGAGGCTGACCTGCCACGTCTGCAGGTACCGACGCCTGGCCCGGCTCAGCTGTCCTGGCCCAGCGTCCAGCTCCCGGACAGCGCGCTCCCCGTGGGAGACCCGGCCGGGATTCCGTGCCTGCTGTGGCCCGAATGAAACGCGTGCTGTTTAATGAGGCCACGCTGGGGGACCCCGCATTCCGACCCCAGCCTGTTCTCCTGCGCGCCCCGCTTGTGCCCCACGTCCTGCCAGCCTGCGGCTGCGTCCCGGGGCAGGGAGGCCTGGGGGTCACGGAAATCGCCCTCGTCGCAGCCCCTGAGGCTCTGGAGACAGGGGAGGGGGGTCTTTGGAGAATGAACTCGCCCCGCCCCCCCCCCCCCCCCCCCCCGCCGGCTCTGAGCTCTGAAAGGCGCCCTGGAGAGCGGCCCCTTCATTATCTGCCGTGAAAGCCTGCCCCCTGACCGACGGGCTCCTGGGGACTGAAGGTCTGTGAGGACCAAGCCGACCCCAGGCGCCCAGCGCTGCAGGCGGACAAAAGCCACTCGCCCTCATGCCCAGCCCCCATTTCATCCCACAAATCCGCACCCTATCCCCGTTTTCGTGGCATTTCCCGGCTTCTGAGCCCGGTCACAGCCTACGTGCCCAGGGTCGCCCATGCTCCCCGCAGTCAGGGGTGATGCCCACGGGGATGCCGGTCCCTGGGCAAAGTGGGTTTCACAATCAGGGGATTAACTAATTGCCCCATTCGATGAGTTTCCCGCAAGGGGCTCTCTCTCCCGGTTCCACCGACGTAACCAGCTCCGGACGACCATTGGCCCCGAGGGCTCTGCCTATGAAATAACTGGTCATTCGCCAACGGTAGCAACATGGTGGACGGGAGCCCAGCTGGGGTGGCTCGGTGGCTGAGTGCCGACCTAGGAACCAGGAGGTCAGGATTCGATTCCCGGTCAGGGCACAGGCCCGGGTTGCGGGCTCCATCCCCAGGGGTGGGCGTGCAGGAGGCGGCCGATCCGTGATTCTCTCTCCCCATGTCTCTCTCTCTCTCTCTCTCTCTCTCTCTCTCTCTCTCCCTCTCCCTTTTGCGCGGAAATCAACGAAAATATTTTTTAAAAATATGACGGGCAAGAGGGGCTAATGAACATGAGATTTCCTTGCAGTCGGCTACAGAGAGTCTGTGAGAGTCGGATAAACAGCGGTCGGATGGTGCCTTACGACAGGGAACGCACCTGTGATTTCGATGGGCGGTTTCCTGGCATCGCCAGCCCCGTTTTCACGCCCGCTCCCTTCGCGGGAGACGTGGTGCCCCTGGGCCCTGTTGACGGACCCCCGGCTGCTGCCACGTGAGCCAGCGAGCATCTCACAGCAAACACAGACCCACAAGAGCCACGGTGGGGTGTCTTCCCGGGGCCTGAGCCCCCCTGAGTGCCCCAGGAGGCCGCCCAGATGTTCACCCCAGCAAAGCCCGCCCTCCCCGCCTCTCCACCGGGCTCTGAGCCGCCAGGAGCGCGACGAGGAGGTTGGCGCTATGGCCGCCAAGAACCGAATGCCCGCTGAGATCAGAGAGACAGGCCAGGCACCGGCCCAGCCGAAACCATGGCTTTTCCACACGTCTCCACCCAGCCAAATGGAAAGCAACGTCAAGGGAGTGAGTTACGACCCCTGAAAGGAGAAGGGCAGGCGTGCACCCCAGGGCCCAGCCGGCTGTCACCCAGACAACCACCATCAGTTCCCGGGTTGCAGGGAACAGCACGTTAAAGGCGAAACCTGGCCCGGCGGGCGTGGCTCAGTGGCTGAGCATCGACCCGTGAACCAGGAGGTCAGGGTTCGATTCCTGCCCGGGGCCCATGCCCGGGTTGCGGGCTCGATCCCCAGAAGGGGGCGTGCAGGAGGCGGCCGATCTGTGATTCTCTCTCATCATGGGTGTTTCTCTCTCTCTCTCTCCCCGTCTCTGAAATCAATAAAAGTCTATTTTTTAAAAATATTGACAGAATAAAGAGGAAAAATAAGGCACATGGGTCTTGATTTCAGCGGTGGCTACACTAATTGCAGCTACACCTGTGAGAAACCCCATAGACGTGTGAGAGAGAGAGAGAGAGAGAGAGAGAGAGAGAGAGAGAGAGACTGTGTGTGTGTGTGCGTGTGTGCACGTTGCACCAGCATCAATTTTGTGCTTCCGTCGCGTCCTACCAAAGCCTCACGTGTAACGGCCGGTGGGCGCCGGGCGAAGGGTGCCTGCCTTCTCTCTCTGCCAGGTCGGCGACTCCCTGGGACTCTGTCATTTTTGCAAAATCAGCCGCTTTTTAGGGGACCCCGGCACGTACGTACCTTGGAGCACTGCTTGTGACTCTGGCACCAGTCCAGGGAGCCGTTGTTCTGCAACGAGAGAAAGACACGTCGGCAGGTTACAGGGCCGCCCGGCGGGATCCGCACGCGTGGCCGTGGGTGCGGGCAGCGTTTTTAAAGATCGGCCCCGACAGGAGCCGGACGCTGGCTTCCCGGGACGTTTCTCTCTCCCTAAACCGGTAAGTAAGGCCCGGGGGCGTGGCTCAGTGGCTGAGCGTCGGCGAGCTAGGAACCAGGAGGTCCCGGGTTCGATTCCCGGTCAAGGGCACACGCCCGGGTTGCGGGCTCCGTCCCCAGTGGGGGGCATGCAGGAGGCGGCCGGTCCATGGTTCTCTCTCTCTCTCTCCCTCTCCCTTCCTCCGAGCACGGAGCGCAGACCCGCAGGACGATGGGCCGCAGACAGCTCCTGCCTACAGAGATTTGGGCCAAGTCAGGAGCTGGGTGCCCTGCGGCTCCTCATCTCACGCAGCTCACAGCGCGTTCGAGTGGTGCAGCCTGGCCTCAGGTGAAAAGCCTCCTCTCCCCGTTAGTGGAGGGGAGACAGGAGCCGGGGACTAAGGAGCCCAGGGCCTCAGTTTACCCCCAGATAGCAAAGGACGACACCTCCTGGGTGAGGTCGCAGGAACGATCGAAATCACACACACACACACACACACACACACACACACACACACACACAGACCATGTCACGTGGCCTGGCATCCGCTCAATAGCAAACAAGTGTTAGGACAAAGGCAGAGGGGTTAGGGGCGATCAGGCCGGCAGGGGAGAGCAGTTAGGGGCGATCAGGCCGGCAGGGGGGAGCAGTTAGGGCCGATCAGGCCGGCAGGGGAGGGCAGTTAGGGGCGATCAGGCCGGCAGGGGAGGGCAGTTAGGGGCGATCAGGCCGGCAGGGGGGAGCAGTTAGGGGTGATGAGGCCGGCAGGGGAGTGGTTAGGGGCATCAGGCAGAGGGGTTAGGGGTGATCAGGCAGGCAGGCAGGTGAGTGGTTAGAAGCCAAAGGTCCCGGATTGCAAGAGGGATGTCCGACTACCAGTTTAGTGTGGGATCGGGCCTAAACCGGCAGTCAGACATCCCCCAAGGGGTCCCAGATTGGAGAGGGTGCAGGCCTGGCTGTGGGCCTCCCCTCCATGCACGAATTTCGTGCACCGGGCCTCTAGTCATAACACTAAAAGCTCTGTCATTAGAACGAGCCATCTGGGGCCTCGGCGAGCAAGCACGGAAGAGGATTTGATTGGAATGGCTCTTATTTATGACTGAAGAGGGCATGTGGCAGGAGGCTGGGAGATTAAAAGATAATCCATGCAAGGTATTTAGCAAACTACAGAGGCGGACGTCGGGGGGAGGCCATGGCTAGGTTATCGATGTTCCTTTGCTGGTCTGCATGGTTACTGTTTCTCGTTGTTGTTTTCTCAATACACTTCTACTGATTTCAGAGAGGAAGGGAGAGGGAGGGAGAGAGAAACATCCATGATGAGAAAGACTCACCGGCCGCCTCCCGCACACCCCCCACTGGGGGTCGGATCGAGCCTGCAACCTGGGCACGTGCCCCAACCGGGAATCGAACGTAACTTCTTGGTTCGCAGGTCGACGCTCAACCACTGAGCCACGCTGGCCGGACTCATCTGTCCTGTGACCTCATTCAAGGAGCTTTTCCATGCAGAAGTTTTCCACACACACACACACACACACACACGCACACGCACACACACCCCGAAATGTGTCTGCTCCCTCTTCGTGCTGGGAGTCTCCTGCTCTCTCAAATCAGCCCCTCCCGCTTTGAGCTCCTGCACCCGCCATGCCTGCTCCTCCCTCACTCAGCGGCCTCCACAGAGGACGGACTTCTAAGGGGCCTGCCTGCCGCCCTCAGGGGTGGGGGTAAAGCCCCGATGAACTCGGCCGTCGGCCGCCACCACCGCTGTGTGGGGTCCAGGTGTGCGCACCGGCCCCTCCCCTGTGCCGCTCACCTGGCCGGCTCTGGGCAGGCGGGCCCGGCAGAAACACCAGCAGCCATTGCCTTGCAACCTCCCGCCCCCGGGGGGTGGGGTGGGGGGCGGAGGGGGGGTTCAGGCGCAGCACAATCCCTTCACCCGCTAAGCCGCCCGACCACAGGGTTTGCGGCGAAGTCTTGCTCTGGCCTAAAGCCAGGCACATGAAAGGGCCAAGGGCATTAGGCGGGAGAGACGCTGGCTTTGGAGGATCATCCCTGGGCCCCCGACACCCCCCCCGCCCCGGGGGGTGGAGATCAGACAGCGGGGATCGCACGCTATAACGAGGTCGCCCGTCTCTCATCGGCGTTGCCAGATCAAACGTGGATGCTGCCGGCGAGGCCTTCAAAGGCCTGACAGAGCGCCGTTCCCGGCCCCGGACGCCCTTTGCACAGCGCGTGCTGAGTTCCCCGTCCCCGGCCTTCTGATACTTTTCCCCTTGAAGCAAACATAATCCTTCAAAAAGCTCAAGGGAAGAAAACCGGTCAGCCCTGGCCGGTGCGGCTCAGTGGGTAGAGCGCCGGCCTGCGGACTGAAGGGTCCCGGGTTCGATTCCCGGTCGAGGGCACGGGCCCGGGGTTGCGAGCTCGGTCCCCAGTCGGGGGCGTGCAGGAGGCGGCCGGTCCATGATTCTCTCTCATTATCGATGTTTCTCTCTCTCCGTCTCCCTTCCTCTCTGAGATCCATAAACATATATTTTATCTTATTTTTTTAAATATATTTTATTGATTTTTTTTACAGAGAGGAAGGGAGAGGAATAGGGTTAGAAACATCGATGAGAGAGAAACATCGATCAGCTGCCTCCTGCCCACCCCCTCCTGGGGATGTGCCCGCAACCAAGGTACATGCCCTTGGCCGGAATCGAACCTGGGACCCTTCAGTCCGCAGGCCGACGCCGTACCCACTGAGCCGCACCAGCCAGGGCAATAAAAACGTATTTTACAAAATGTATGTGACCAGGAGAAAATGCTAGTGGGTCATGTCTGCTCCACAAAATGCCATGAACGCCCGGAAGCCTTCGAGATGGGAGAAATGGGTTTTGCCGAGAGACGTCCCACCCTGAGCAGGTGGACGCTCTACCCACTGAGCCACACCGGCCAGGGCTGACCGGTTTTCATGAAACGTAATGGCTAACCTTTCCCACGGGACTCAGGTTACACAGGGAGGACGTGTGAGCCAGGGGCGGGCGGCTGTGGGCGGAACAGCCGAGGCCTTGTTCCCGGGACCTGATCCATGAAGACAGACAGGTCCCCGGAGAAGGGCAGCCGCATGCCCTCACCCCCCTGCTGTCTGTGTCCACGGGTTATGCTCAGAGGCACGCACACAAGTCCTTTGGTTGATCTCTTACCCCCTCCCCGAAGCCCCACTCCCCCGCCTTCCCTCTGAGGTTGGACGGTCTGTTCGATGCTTCCCTGGCTCTATTTTGGTTCATCAGTTTATGCTGTTCATTATAATCCACAAATGGTCGTGTGATGTTTATCTTTCTCCGACCGGCTTATTTCGCTCAGCGTCATGCTCTCCAGGTCCCTCCATGCTGTAGCCAATGGTAAGAGGTCTTCCTTTTTCAGGGCTGTGTAGTATTCCATGCACCACAGTTTTTCAATCCACTCGTCTGCTGATGGGCACTTGGGCTGTTTCAAAATCTTAGCTATTGTCAATGGCGCTGCTGTGAACATAGGGTGCATATGTCCTTTCTGGTGGGTGTTTCTAGGATCTTGGGATATATATTCCTAGACTAGAAGTGGGATCACTGGGTCCAATGGGAGTTCCATTTTTAGTTTTTTGAGGAAACACCCGTCTGCATTCCCGCCAGCAGTGCATGAGGGCTCCCTTTCCTCCCCATCCTCTCCAGCACTTGTCATTCGTTGATGTGTTGACCTTTTTTCTCTTTTTTAATATGTTTTTTATTGATTTCAGATAAGAAGGGAGAGGGAGAGCGAGAAACGTCAATGATGAGAGAGAATCACGGACCGGCTCCCTCCTGCACGCCCCCCACTGGGGATCGAGCCCGCAACCCGGGCGTGTGCCCTTGGCCGGGAATCGAACCGTGACCTCCTGGTTCCTAGGTGGATGCTGAACCACGGAGCCACGCCGGCCGGGCCCAGCAAGCCCTTCCCCCAGGGGCCAAGGTCGTTTGGGATGCGTGGCCACCTCCCTTCAGGTTGATTCATTTTCCTGAAAATAAGAACTGTTTCTCCCCGGGATAGCCACCACAGAACACGTCCTCTCGGTATGTTTCCACTTGCATCTGGGCCATGCTCTCACCCAGGCTTTTAAAAGCAGCGTCAGCCCTGGCCGGTGTGGTTCAGTGGTTAGAGCGTCGGCCTGCGGACTGAAGGGTCCCGGGTTCGATTCCCCGTCAGGGGCACAGGCCCGGGTTGCGGGCTCCATCCCCAGGGTGGGGCGTGCAGGAGGCAGCCGGTCCCTGATTCTCTCTCATCATGGATGTTTCTCTCTCCCCCTCTCCTTTTCTCTCTGAAATCAATAAAAATATAATTTAAAAAAAAACAAAATAGATAAATAAAAGCAGCTCTAGCAGGACGCTGGGTGCCCCAACCAGCGACGCGTTTGGAAACCGTGAAGGAAGCAGAGAAAAATGCCTGAGGGACGCGGAAAACCACCTGGAGACGGCACCGAGGCTGGCCTTGGCGCCCCCCCCCCCGGACTGTCGCTGTCTGGAAAGACACACGTGGCGCCAGCCCGCAAGCCGCTGCTGATGACTGTGAGTGGCACTGAGCGAGGAGGGGTGCTTACGCGTCGCCGCAGAGGAGGAATTTTAGCAGAAACGAAAGGCCGACCGCCAGCCGGGGGTCAGGGTTCGGGAGGTCGCCAAGCTCGCTGGGCGTTCGACCTTGTCCGGCCCGGGGAGGGTGGCGTGCGGGAGGTGTTCTTGTGCGTGAGCCGTTAGCATGAGCAATTGAAGGCTGTTTTGTTTTGTTTTTAATATATATATATATTTTTTTTATGGATTTTTTACAGAGAGGAAGGGAGAGGGATAGAGAGTGAGAAACATCGATGAGAGAGAAACATCGATCGGCTGCC